TTATATATAAAATATTTTTTTCCAGGTTTTCATAAATTCTTAACAATGGAGACAAAAGTTGGTCTTACATAACAACCGAAAAATATATCATTTATAGTAAGTTATTAAATTTATATCTACTTATTATACGAATCTTATGTATAAAGAAATATGGTATTCTAGACAAATTGAGCACAAAAATAAAGAATGTTCGTCTTCTTTCGTTACAGTTCTCTGCACTTGTCCTCACATGACACCGATTTCAGGGTTTTGAGTCTTCGAGCGGAACGAAAAACAGTTTGCAGAATTCTTCATTTTTCTCATCTTTATATTATACGTGTATATACTATACTTTTTTTTACTTTAAAAATTATTTCTTGTTATAAACTTTGTTTTAAAAACAATTATTTATATTAATTTTTGCGAGTTACTGCTGTTATTAATTCGCTTATTAATTCGCGTAAATGCATTTGTCATGCATTTTTTTAAATAATATAAATTTCCAAATTATATTACTTAAATCTATATTTTTTGCTACAAAACTTAATAAAAAAATTATTAAAAAATATTTTGCAATACATTTAGTAATACACACACACAAATGTTATATTTATTTTTTATCAATTTCTATTTAAATGTATTGAAATCTTTAACAAACGTAAAATCATAATATTAATTATTTATAAAAGTTTAAAATAATTTTACTACGTTTGTAAAAGATTACAATTATATTATCGTTATTATTATTAATATTAATTAATACCATTTATTAGCCAAATAAATGTTACCGGTCTGTTACATAAATATTATTCATTTTTCTCTATGTAGCTACGATTGTAACGGTTAAACTTCTGTTTCGCACAATCTTAACGATTTAAGTATCTACCGTGCAGGAAGTAATTATGCCTTCTACTGGCGCATCAAAGATTTGTCTTCGAGTGGGGAAGTTCGAGTATTGTATAGCGGAAACTCTCTCTTCACGTGAGAATAATTCGTTTCTCATAGTTTCATTAACATACAATTATCGAAAGAGAATACTATACAATTAAATCGGCTACCTTCGATAAACATCTTAGAAACGATAATAATAACAATATTTTATTGTATAATTTTGCGTAATAAAACAATTACAACATGACAATATAAAGGTAAGAAATAAATAATAATCTCTTACAATAATTAAATTTTGAATTACTTTTTCTGCATTTAGTTATTCATTAACACTTATTTTCGTGAAATATCATTCAGACTTGTATCAGAAGAATTTTTTGTTCTCTAGATAATCTTAAAGACAAAATTACAAATGTATATTTTACTAATTTTAATTTCTTTTTATTAATCTATTTTATTTTATTAGTTGCGATTATTATAGTACTTATTGATCAGAGTTAATTAATTATATGTTATTTTAAACCTGTCCATAGGTGATTCTTTATCGAAGGTAACCTTAATTCTTTATCGAAGGTAAGATTAAATATAATTTAAGATTTGAAAATGAGCCCTGAACTTACAGATAACATGTGCTGATAGAGAATATTGCCCAAACCCATACGTTGTCGCGATTCGTGCACATAGAAATCCAAGATACATCTCGCCTGCAGCTGATAATGCTCACCCATTTCATCAAACAGGAACAAATTTTTCGATCCCGTTTTCAGTAATCCCACCACACTACCGAATCCACTGCAAAATCAAGAGATTTTATTATGCGAATGAATTACAGTTTCCTACGAAACGACTTTGAAAAATACTATGTCACGTCGCATCGTTACGTATATCGTAATAATTGCCAAGTAATGCGTAATATCTGCGTATGGTCTGATGCAAATCTTATATACTCCAGCAGAAGTCGACAAAATGCTGAAATTGGGCACGTTCGCCCACGAATGCTCGCGAGTGCCCGGCTGTGTGTATATTGCATGTCAACAACTCAGGAGCGTATTCTATTTTTATATCTTGGAATAAAATTTTGCATTTCATATACTACAAACATAGTGTACATATAAACAGTATAATCTCAAGTCTGGAATATTTTCAAAAACTTTTAGAATCAATCTCTAAAGAATAAACTCTCTCACTCTTAAAGAATGAAAAATTGAGCCATTCTTTTTCAAAACAAGTTTTATTTTTAAGAATAAGATTCCACGCCAAAGAATTTAGAGAGTAACGATAATAGTGTAAATATAAAAGATTCTTAATACTTTTAGATCTACAGGAATAATCTTAGATAAGATAAACAAATGTTAAATTGAGAAAACTTCCATACAATTGCAAAATAATATTCTGTTCATAAACGCGCAAAATACAAAACTGTACATAAACAAATTATATTAGTATAACGATATTAGTATATCGTTCGTAATATAATTCGTCATGTCTATCTTTCTATTTTCACTTTATTTGTATCTTAGCCGACCTAGCTATTGTCCATTTGAGCGTTTGCGAGCAGTATCTACTTGCCAATATTTTCAGCTAAAAAATGTCCATTTTAATATTATTTTAGCATCATTCCATATCTCTTTAAAATTCGCGGATTTCAATTTATCGAAAGTGACTACAAGAAGTGTCAATAATAAAAACCATTATATTTTTGTATGATTTTGAATATTAATCGTCAGAAATCTTTTTAAAAATTTGAGAAGACTTTTTTTTAAGAATTTATTAGTTAGATCAATTATGTATTGTAGAAATATAGAAATTTGAATACAATGTTGTCTATATAATACAAACAATAGTACAAATTTCAAGAGTAAATAATTATTTATTAACAAATATTATATTTCAAGTAAATCTAAATGAAGAGGAAAACTTACTTGTTCCCTTCATTATCTACTAGCAAATAAACCATGTGATCTGTGTCTCGGAGTTTAAGGGCACTAGTAATTGGCTTGTTGAGTCCTTGAGCTCTTGCTGATGCCTCACCCATATCGTCCAATATTCTGCTCAATAATCTTTGACATTCGCTAAAAAAAAAATGATACTTATCAGATATATCTACGTTTATATTTGCAAATAAATCGAATACATTTGCATACAATTTTAATTTGCAATTAATAGATTTAGCTAGATATGTTGATACAAGGCGCTTTATATAATTTGTACATAAATTTTTTAATATTTTGTATTTATCTCTATTTTTATAATATGATTAATTAAGAAAATGTAATCCAATACAGTTAGAAAAAAATTTCTGAAAGCATCCTAAACATAATTACGGAAAAGGTAATATAAGAATTGAAAATAAGTGAAGAATTTCTGATTTAAAAAATTTTAATGTAAAATATCAAATTGTTGCAGATATCTCTTAAATTAGATGTAAATTAGAAGTAACATCTCGATCAAGCATTCCTATTTTTCAACGCTACAATTACAATCGAATATAATGATACATAGCGATTACACGTTGAAATAGTACGAAACAGTCATGTTCTTCTTTTTGTCTTCATATTTTATGCTACTAACATCAATTTCATAAAACTATGCTAATTAATTCTCCGATGTTCTTGTATCAAGGGCAAAACATTTTTAAAAACTAGCGGAAAATAGCTATAGCATGAATAAAGGAAAAGAAAGGGATGAGAGGAGAAAAGGGGAAAGAGAAAGAGAGGAAGGAGAGAAAGAGAGTATAGAAAAAAGTAAAAAGTACAATTATTACAAGAAAATATTAATTCAGATAAATTTTTATGTCAATTAATTCTTTTTGCATTAGATAGCGAATAATAAAAAAACTTTTATTCATAATCATTTTCAATTAATACTAACAATATATAAAGCTGGAGCAATCATCTGAATAATAATCTGAATAATAATAAAATATGTTATTTTAAATAGAAAGATATTGATTTGTTACGACATAAGATGAAAAAGCTTCTTATGCTTTCTATAATCAATATTAAATATTGTAGCGCAGCATGCAATATTTAATTTCATATTCGATTAGATTACATAAAATTATACGTTAGAAAATTATATAGATGCAATTATTTGCGCCATTGTAATAAGAAAAATTCCTCGTGTAACACATTATTCAGTTACAGCGATGACCTGATTCATGTTTTGGACGCGCGCCAATCCATTTTGGCGATAAAGATCAGGTTAATTTATTCTATCGATATTATATCTTCTCTTATGGTCATTATATGCTATTGGCGTGAAGTATGATGGATTGTACGAAAAAAAATAAGTAATCACCGAATGTGGAAAGTTGCATTGCGAAATCTACAGCTCTTAAAGACATGAAATTTCACGGAAATATCTTACATAAGACGCTTGCTTAACTTTGACAATAGATTATTTAATTTTACAGTACTGCATTTTTTAGCTTTTAACAAATTTTATAGAAGAATCGAAAATGCTTCCTTGTATCACTTATATCACTTAGAAGAAATATTACTGTAGAATTTTAATTATTGAAAAAAAATATTTTTCTTCACAACAAATATTTGACATATTCTTACAAAAGTGCATATTTACGTTTATAGCTCAACTTGTGTAATTAACAAAATTATGCAATCTCAAGATTATTTTCGGTACAAACATATAAATAAAAAGGAAATATGAAAAAATAAATCTTCGAGCTTCTGTTATATTATATTGCGATATTGCTAAAATGTAAATGTTACTGCAATATTAGAACATAAATTACAATGTTACTGCAATATTGCTACAATGATCTACAAGTACTGTATGATGAGTTAATATCGGAATAATAATTTTACAGCGCGTGTCATTGCATCAACTGCTTCTGTCCTCAAGGAGGACAGGTATTTAACCGGAGAACAGGTAACCTAGGTTTTCTGTATACCTACAATAAATACTGAAGGACAAATCTTTCACGGTGAGAAACCACGATACTTCTCTTTTCGTCATAGACTTCCGCGAGCGTCGCGAGTCACTGCCCAAGAATTCGATAGAAGCTATTGCAAGTGAACCGAGTTCCTTGAACCGAGAATCTACGATCATACAAAATCATTTGTCCGACTTTACTGTTCGAAAAAACTCATTTACTTCACAATTCGTTAACTTTTCTGGCAGAAAGCTCGGAGAAAGAAGAGTATCCCACCGTCTGTCATAATGAATATGGATTGAATAAATGGAATGTGGAATCTTATCTAGACTTTATCGTGGAAATTGCTTATATAACATCGTAATCTAAATCTTAATTATATAGGAATGATATATAAAATTACATTACTCTCTGCAGCTTCTAAGTATTCCGCATTGACTCAATTAGCTATAATGCAATAGCAGATTTGAACACGTTAGTAACATTCCTTCAGCAATTAGATAATGTGATGTAGTCTCGTTATTGATGTCTTATCATTTATGGAAAAAATATGAAACATTAGAAAAGCGAATTGATGGAACATCTTGTTTAAAGTGATTACGCTTAAATCATATTTAATTGTTTAATATATTGTTATTATTTACGATAAGAAAAAATATCGAGCATGAAATAAATAAGTCTTCTCAAATGTTGCAGTGCATATTCGCTCAAAATAAATTATGGATCTGGAATTCATAACAAGATTTATAATTGTGCATGCATGTATACCAGACAGCACACAATATTTATAAAATATTCACAAAATATGTATAAATATTTATAAGATTTATTTTAAATATTTTGTAAATATTTTTATGATCTTAGATTATACAGATCATAAACATTTATTATAAATATTATGAAATATTTATTATTATGTAAATGTTATAATAAGTGCTACGAAAATACTTAATGAGACATCATAATCCAAATAAAAAATACTTATTAAAAATATTTATTTATAACATATTTATCATAAATATTACATAAAATGTTTAGTCTATATTTTAATAATATTTCGAATAAAGCTTTATATAAAATATGTATGAAATATCTATATAACATTTCAAAAAATGAATATTAATAAATATTTATCATAAATATTCTATGCTGTCTGAATATGGGTGTGCGCGCGCATGTGTGCACATCACATATATACATACATATCGCTTGTTTAAAAATGACATAAGTCAAACATAATGTAATTTATGAGTTATTACCATGAATGAGTTAAGTAACTTAACTTATTCGTAAAAAAAAATCGACAAAATCGGTGCAATTAAAAAAAAGTTTTTAAAAAAAGGTAA